TGAAAGGAAACATCAATTGACCTACATGGTGACAAAAAGAAAATCACAATGGTAACATATGTTCTTTTGAATTTTGATCCATCTTTTTTTTTTGGAAGTATTTCTTCCATTCAACTGCTTGAATTGCTCATCCAAAGAAAAACATCTTTTCTTCAAGGGCATATTTTATGGTACTATTTAGTTTGTATAATTGATAACGGGGAATTGACTATATTTTGACAGTAGTTTTTAACGAATTTACCTACGTCCGTTTTTTTAACTAGCCGTTTCAGTTCAGTTCTTAGAATTAAAAAGATTCACTTAACAAGAATTACTAGAATTACTTGTAGGTTTTACTCAACAACACGAGTAACGGATCAATGAAGTTGAACGATTGAGAGAAAAGAAGTAAAATTGTAATACTTCGAACTTAAACTAATCAGCTGTTATAGACCCAGCTGTTAAACTAAGACCATTTTAGTTGTTAATGAGTGGTGCAATTAGTGTTTGTTACAACGATTCGTGTGCATCGTCAGTGGCAATGAGATACACGAAAAAATAACCTCTCTTAGAAGTGAGTTATTGTTAGTAATTAAAAAAATGCCGAAGGTAAAGTAGTGTACAGAAATCACGTAAGTGATAAGTCGTTTATTCAGCAAAATTAAAAAAAAAAATACATTAGCTACGTCAAAAACATAATGAAATATTTACATTAACTAAAAATTCTCTTATCTATTTATTAATAGGCATCTAAATTGGGAATTATATTGGGCCTTAAAACGTCCTCAATTTGAGACGGCACTAGAATGTCTCACGTTGAGCAGATGGTCTCTGCTGCAGTTAGGGTTGCTGCTGTGACTGCGCGACTGCTGAGCTGATGGGTGAATGTGTGTATGTGCGTTTTTTATTCGCTTGTGTATATTATAATATATTAGATTAAGATATATCTATGATATTGTATTCCTTTATGTTAGCCAGGTTCATTCCTTCTTTACAGGATTATTATATTTGTCAATTTAGTTTTTACTCTGTTTTTCATTATGTACTTGATTTTTTTATTGTTGTATAAAGTTAGTATATGTTGTAAATAGTTGTTTTTAAACCCCACTTTTTATTGGTCACCTTTTGAGGGCTAATTAAGATTAGTGTAGCCTAATCAATGATTAACTTCGCTTGAAAACCGGGAGGAGTTAATCCACTTCCAGAAATGTTGGAAAAAAAATTATAACATTCTAGAAGCAACTTCAACATAAGTTTTAAAAACTTAAATTTAATAATAAATTTAATTTAATATAAATTTAACTATTAAATATTTGGAATCATCAATTTCGAATGAACTGGATTATTGGTTCAATAAAATGTGTATAATTCCACAGTTCTTTTGGCCTTAACAATGTTCATGAATAGATAAACCATGTATGTTTTCAGAACACAAACCCCTCCAATGACGGAAGCGAATTTCCCTTAAGAAGAAGGTATTTCCGTAGGTGGAACGGCAAGACCTAGACCCGGGACCGATATTTACTTATTATTATGATGCAGAGACCAAAAACACAATTATTTTATTTTTTGAAGCGTATTTGCGCTGGCCAGGGAGATGCCAGAGAACTAAAAATATCAACTATGTAAAATAACCAAAACATTGGCTAAAAGGAAATTCACAACCAAAAAACCAATCAAAAACAAGAAATTTTGAGACATAGTAAAAGGCAGCAAATCATACGATGGAAGGAATTATGTAAAGAAATTCTTAATAGACAGGTAAAGATGGAAGAAGGTATTGGCGATTAGAGATGCTGACCAATTGGGACAAAAAAAATTCACAGGCAAAAATTAAAGCTGCAATTAAGGAAATAAATAACAGGTATCAGCAATCTGACACATACTTTTCCCAGTAGCTTGTCAACTAAACTACCCATGTCATATGGGCAAGTGGCGGGAAAAACTATATTTTTAGGGTAAAATCACAAAAACTGCAATAACTTTTGAACCCTAATTTTTCAGCAATGGGGGTACTGTTTTGTTTAGACTAAAAGGACGATAACATACTGAATTATTATCAAAATCAATGTAGTACAACCACAGCTTAAAGAGACAGACTAAACATACTATTACCACTCAATGATGTTGCAGTGCACAGCTTGCCTATTGTATTTTCAGGGTCTATTTTCATCTAACATTACCAATTTCAGGGTGTCAGCCAAATTAGTAAATTTGGGCAACATCACCAGACTACTACTCTTCCTGTTGTAGTGAGCAAGGCATAAAGAGTGGAATTTGATCAATAATTTGTGGATTTATTCTCTTACACTATACACATTGAAACAACACACTTGCAACATTAGGTCATGTAAACAAAAAAGGCTCCATCTGCTTTTTCTACACAATATTAAATATCAAAAGACAAAAATAGGTCAAATTATAATTTATTTTGGATATGACTACAGTATTTGCAACATAAATATACGTAAATCGCTTCAAAATTACTATCAGTATGTAAAGGTTGGATAACATGATTGTAGTAATTGGTTCCTTAGTCCATGGTACTACTAACAAGGGACTTTAAAAATTGTTGAAAAACAGTAATTGGTTACAGAAAAAAAAAAAATAATTCCCATTTTATTTTTATGGAGAATAAGTAAACGTATGAAGAGCTGGATATTATTATAACTTCTTTTGATAATAAATGTTCTACTGGCTGGGATGAAATACCAATGCCAATAATTAAACAGGCTCAATTATATTTATTATTACTATTACTACATGTTATAAACTTTTCTATAATTTCAACAAATTTTCCCAAAAAAATTCTAAAAAAATATAAAATTAAACCTGGTTATAAAAATGGCAACCCAGAGGAAATGTGTAATTACAGGCCTCACTCATTGTTATGCTAATTTTCCAAAACTTTTGAGCAATTTATGCATATACAACTTTAAAATTTCTTAGAGGAAAATAATTTAATAAATTAAGAACAATTTGGTTTTAGAGAAGGAAGATCTGTGATTGACACAGGAGTTGATTTCTGTGAATCTATAATTAATTCAATTGATTCACAGGAAAAGGTAGTTGGATTATTCTTGGACTTAACAAAAGCCTTTGATAGCATCTCACATGATTTACTTCTTGAAAAAACTTAAATGTAACTAATCTTATCTTACAGGCAAGCATCAGTATGTCCCAATTGATCACATGAATAGCCATAACCAATTAATTACTTACACTTCCTTATTAAGTATGGTGTCCCTCAAGGATCAATATTGGGGCCCCTATATTACTCTTAATTTACTTGACTGACTTTCCCTCATTGATAGAATCTCCTAATCTTGATTGTTTATTTGCTGATGACATCAATATAAAAATATCCTAATTCAAATTCTGATGTGGAAGTCTCTTCTTTTGTTTAGCTTTCCAAATGTATCCAATGATGAAATAAATTTACTACCAAATCCAATAAAAACTAATTATAAAATTTTTCTTCATTTAGCAAAAATGCAGCTGAGTTTAGTATTTTTATGGATACAATTATACTAAATGAAGTTAAAACAATAAAATTTCTTGGATTACATAAAGATGATAAATTCAACAGGGATAGTCATGTTGAAATCGTTTTAAAAAATGTCACTTTTTAAGCCATATGCCATATTTTAAAACAGATGTCAAAAGTTAGTAGTTTAAAAACCTTAAAAATAGTATATTATTCCTTAATTGAATCACACATTCTTTTGGTTTGTGTCTTTATGGGGGCACATCTTTTAATCTAAATAGCATTCTGGAGTTTCAGAAAAAAAAACAGTTCGCATTATGTTAAAAGTAAAACTGAAATCAAAAGAACACGCTTAAGAGCACTTTAAAAATTGTGACTGTTTTTAGCTTATACATTTATCAAATACTCCTTTATATTAAATTAAATCATGGAAGAATACCAAAATTGAACTCTTTTCATAAGTATTTGACCAGAAAAGGTAGTGAATTGGCGTTCAACAAACATAATTTAAATTTATCAGTTTACGAGAAAATCCCATCTTATACCTGATAGTGGTGTTAAATATTTCAACAGCTTACCTGGAAATATAAAAAATATAACTAATTTTAATTAATTTAAAAAATGTTAAAATTATTTCTCACTAACAGATTCATGTATAAATTAGAAGATTTTTTTCCAACTTCCTGAAATTTGATTTATTGATAATAACAATATTCTCTGTAAAGGAGTCTTAGGTTTAATACAGTTGTTTTAGTTATTACAATGACACACAATGTGCAATATGAATAAAGTTACTTTGATCGATTGATAAAAAGTTGTATTTTGCTTGTTTATGGGTATATTTGGCAAATTGCTTTATTTCATCCTAAGCTATTATTATTTCACAAAAACACTTCTTTACCTTCCCTGTAGCAGCAAGCCAAAGTACTAGTTAAACTTAATGTTATTTAAATAGGGAATAATCTTACAAATTTAAGTGAAAATCCAATCAGGATGAAAATTTGCTTAGTCTGCAGGTTTGCTTGCTGTGGCGGGTGTATTTAATTTGAAGAAAAAAGCCCCCTCAAGCATGCCAAACATATGAATTTGAATTTATATGCTTAGTCTTCCTCAACACAAAATGTTGGAGTTGTTTGTATTATATATTGGCATTGAATTATTTTGAATTAAATCTTGAGATACTTTTAATAAGCAATAACAATGCAAATAGCGAAGCTGCAATTGAACGGATGTTGAAACCTTTTTAATATGGTTAAGTATTGTGTTGTAACAGTTACAATTTTGCTATTTGATGATGTATTGTAATAAGACAAGAGTTATTCTTAGCAGAATTTGTATGTCTGAGTAACACTTGTTTAATAAACACCTTTCAATTAATTTGTAACTAAAATATGTCTCAAGTCCTTAAAATGGGAAATGAACATGATGAGTTAGTAAATAAACAATCTTTGATATACAAATACTTTAATTACATAAAATATGCAATATTTATATATTTAACAATCTAGCGATAACATTATAATAAACAAAATATTCTTAATAACAATATCAAATGTATTAAGAGAAAGGATAAGGACTAGAATGGAAATATTTTTTCTAAAAGATACCAAATAATAAATTATATGCATGGAAAACCACTAGAGGGATTACAGTTTTTGTTAAACCCCTAAAAGTAATAATTATTCATACCTTTGTGCTCAATTGGCCACAACTTTTATATAAACAACGTGGAATCATTAGCTGTCTTTCACAGTCAAATTATTTTATTTTCAAATTTACTCAATGTGTGTCACAACGTTTATGAAAACTTTTATAAAATTATACATAAAGTAAAACTGCTATCAATGAAAGTAAAAAAAAAAACAGGTTTTTTGTAAATGGTGCTGGTTTAAGAGCGCTTGAAAAAAGTCACCACCACTAAAGCTGGCCTCTGACTGCCTAAAACTGCACAACCTAAAAATAGTGTTCCTATTGAAAATGGCTAATATAGCTATTTTCATTGGCACTGGACCATGTATTTTAGATCCTCACAGTTATAAATTTGTATAATCTGAAACGTCTCTGTAGTATTAAGGCAAATATAAGTGGTATTGAAACTGTGGGATCAAGAAATCATGCAACTAGAAGTAGCTCAAATACCCAGTTTATAGACTTATATGTTTATTAGCCAATCAGAAAGCCTGAAAACGCTAACAGAAAAACCGTTCCAGCAGAAGATTAAATTGTGTTTGTTGGACAACCCTTGTTATTCTGTGTAGAAGTGTTTATAGCATTGTTAAACATGTTCAGTAACGTATAATTCTATTGTCTTGACTTGGCCTATTGCCTGATTGTGTTTAATGGATAAATAAATTATTTGATTTTATTGTTTCTAAATGGTTTTTTAGAACTAAAAACGGAAAATCATTTTAAGGAATTATATGGATTTTTTTCAATAATAATGCCATGGAGTCTTGATAAAACTAAGTCAATTAATTAATACATAAAATAGTATTTTAACAAAAATAATTTACTTCCGATCGTGAAAATAACACAAATTAAGAATGTTGAATTAAGATGTACCACATGTTACATTCAACCTTCATCTCAGTGAAGGGACAGAACCGTTGACTGAGGCACGTTTAGCCTCAAAGTAAGTAGAAACAGCGTAAAACACTAGTTTGTCTTCAGTCGCTTGAGCTAACTCGAGAAACTTACGCCCTGACAGCTGGTCTTCGTTTTCAGATTCTATGGCGTACCTGAATAACAAAACAAACATTGTTAACTTTTAATGTAATTTATATTATAATTATTAATTATTACAGTACACCCTGTCATAACTGACCTTTTCGGGGCCAGGCTTACAAAGTCCCAACTATGTGAACAAGTAAAATACAGTAATATTTGACTGCTCCCCACAAGCTACTGAGTAGGGTTATCTGCTTTCATAAGGCTCATACTTTTCACCTCTTTTCATGGTATAAAAATGAGTGATGTGCCGATACCAAAATTTATAGATTCTCTATACCGATACCTGAAAAATCTATTCTCGATACCAATACCATTTTTGTATTGTTTTACCAAATTTTCTGAATGGATTGGTTATACTACATCAACCCTTGTCTTTATGTCCTTCCATTAAGTATTTTTGAGGTTTAATGGGGTGTTTTTAAAGCAAAGAAAAAATGTATGCAGCAATGATACATTCCAACTAGCCAATTTAAGTTTAAACCTTTCTAAAAACATTAAAAACTACCATATTAAAGATAGGCTAAATGAAAATCTAACAACAGAAATAAATACCCCCGCTGCAGCAAACCTGCAGACTAAGCAAATTTCAACTTGTCTGACCTTTTTACTAAAATATTTCCATAAATAAGACATATTTATTCCCAATTTAAATAACTAGATTTAACAAGTGCTTAGGTTTACTGCAACGGGGAAGGTAAAAAGTGTTTTTGACCATACTTCAATAGTATGTGATTAAATAAATAAATTTACCAAATTTTATCAACTTATATCCATAAACAAGTAAACTACAACAGTTTTCATTGTCTCCATAAGAATTTTTTAAAATAACATGGGAATTTTAAATTACACTTTTTTTTTCTCCGTAATCGTTAGGCATACAACAGCACTTCATTATACTAAATTATTTCTTTTTTGAAGCTCTACAAAATGGTTTAGAAATAAATTGCAAAATTCTTTTGTTTTTAGGGTCAAAAATGGAAAAAAACCCATTTTTACCCCATAACCCCCCCCCCCCCCCGTGCTCAGTGCGCACTGTAGGTTGTCACAGCAACTGTGTGTCATCATAGCGACGAGCCAATCACACATCTCGCACTGCGTTGTAGATTACGAATAGCTGTGTTCAAGACAATGCGATAGGTGATAGTTTAATCGTATCTCCTCAAAATTGCAAGCAATAATAATTGCGTCTTGACTGAGCCGAGCTTCGTGCTTATCAAACCTCGAATGCATGAACAACGTAGAATTGTGATAACTTTGTTTTCAATTGTACGGCACAAATTAAGTGTTATTTTAGTTTTTACTTGGTATTAAAAGCTCGGCTCAATCTTCGAGCTTTTTCATAATGCCTCCAGCCGAGCTGAATAATGAAAAGCTCGACCAAAAAGCTTGAAGATTCGAGTACTCGCACACCCCTAGTTTTTTTTTTTTTAGAAAGAGGATTGTTGTGTTTGGATGCTCATTAAGTGGCAATGCAGACTTCAGATTTCATTCTTGTTTTAGTGCAAGTACCTAAGTGCAGGCAGTATTTGGTGCTTGGAGAGCAGAACCTCAGTTATCTCTTGGCTGGCAGTGTTCAGCCTATGCAGCATGTCCAAGGCTAGTTGGTGGGCTGGAGGGTACAGGTTCTCGAGGGACAACAGCAAGCAAGCCTAAGTAAAGGACAGATTTGGTTTTGATTGAGAATTTCATAACTTTTGTATCGGAGGATTAGAGGAGTGACATTACTAATCTTGTGGGGTGACAATACTGCTCCACCTGAGTATAATCACCAGGTATAGCCAATTTTTTTATATAAAATAACTGAGATGAATGATCTACAAACAGATTGTGCTACTGTCTAAATTTCTATTTTCGCCCTCAGTTGTGTTTAATGTGATAGTTGATGTAAAATAATAAATTCTGTTTACACTAAACTGTTTTTTATTTTTATTTTTAAAGCTCCCGTACCCATATATAATCAAAATCAGTAATTTACATCAATACATTTACTCGATTCAACAACATTATATTTCATTCTAAAATTGGCCACAGCTTTGACATGGAGGTGGGTTGCTTGGTTCTAACCATGGTCAAAGGTAAAATTTTTTATAAAACTTGAAACAAATCAACTGTATATTAACAAGAACAGTATAAATGATGTCAAGTTGCAAAACATAACTCAGAACACATACTTCTCTAGGGGAGAGTATGAGAAGAGAATACTGATTATTTTATGAACTTGAACAAAAAATGAAAAATAGTTTTTATCTTGGGAATGATTGATTCTTAAAGCGAGCATATTTAATCACTGGTAGTCTTGAAATAAAATTGACAATTGTACTACTAGGTTAATAGTTGCATTATTCAGTTTTATGCATAACAATGCTACAAGTAATAAACAAGCATTACACTTGTCTCTCTATTTGTCGATTAGGTCTACAACATTGCATTGGTCGATTCATGATAGAAGTGGATGCGATGAAATAAATATGTATGTATGTAATAGGTATGCTTTCCATGCATACTCAACCCCCTTCAGATCCTGGTCTATATATGCAACGAAGCTGAAACGTCAGCAACTAGTGATTTTCCTAGTATTCCAACGTGGTCATGCCCAGAAGACCTATGACTTAGTGTTAGTGATTGTGACCATAGAAGCCTTACTTCGAAAATTAACTACTTGTGTACAAATACAACAAAATGGTCTATTCAAGTTGGTCACGGCAAACAAGAAGTAAAATAGTTAAACAGTTTGTTTAGTGTCTGACAAACAACTGTAAGATCAATTTAAATAATCTAGAAAACTTAATAAATATCGTACCAGAGGCTTAGAGTCAGAAACGACAAAATATTGCAGAAGCTGGTGAAGTTGGTAATAGGCTTTATTGAGTATCAAGGAGTTGATGACCAACTCATGAAGATAGTGTTGTACTGGGATCTGATGATCCGTCAGTGATCTCACATACTCCAGAAGCACCCACATTGCCAACTTACGGTTCCCTGCACAAGTCACATAAACGTTTACAAGATTGATGATTACGATGTTATACGGGGTTAGCGTGGTATATCACTTTAAGCCAATATGCCATATTGGGACTAAGCAATTAAACAAAGTCTCATAGTAAATCCTTAACCCGGGACCAATTTACTTTTTGGTTTTGAGGTCTCTGGAGGGAAACAATACCATCCGTTCAAATTCATACACAATGATCCATAATACTAATACTTCATACCAATTGAAAAATGTACAGACACATTACCTAAAATTTATTTGCAGCACAGATGTAAACTAACTATTTTTAATTTGAATACTTCATTTGACCCAGCTGATGACCTCTTGCAAGTTCAGTTGAAGCATATACAGCCTTCATCAACCCAGGCTCAGCTTAGTCAGACCCTTTTATAACACTAAATGTTCTCACCAGGTACATTAATTAAGTGTTTCTTACTTGGTGGACTATCTTCATTTATGAAGTCTGCCATCTTAGACAGTACATTGGTGTACATATCGGACTGGTCTATGACCACTCGTGTGACTAGAGAACTTTCAGAGACTTGACTGTCCACAGCACTCACTGGACTGGCCAACTGCCACTTGACATTCTGCAGCAACTTTTGCCGATACACTGCATTCAGCTTGTCAAACACTAAGGCTAACTCTTCTAGATTCTGATTGAGGCTCTGCGTTGCTTCTCGTAGTTCCTGCAGAGTGAAATCAAAATATTAATAATCAGAGACCCTCTAACTAATACAAGGTTTTCACAACTAAAGGTTCTCGATTAAGGTTTCTATTGAGCTAAGTTATAATCTAGGACCAACATCACACATACTTTTATTCATCCACTACTATTCTAGCTGGTTCCCAACCCTATGGGCCGATTAGTGTACTCAAAATAGCCAAATACTATGTGAACAAAATCGACATTCCTACCAAGTATGAATCGTATTCTGTAAATAGATGTCTGTGGACTGAGGTGTCAACAGGGGCCCGTCTTATAAAAAATACTATTCTAGTATTTACTAGTCCAGGGACTAGTTTTCTTGCAATCCGTACATGGTGCTTGGTATGTCAACTATCTCGGTGATGGGGACTCCAAAGCCTTTTTATCAGTTAGTGAGGCTAAGGTTTATGGAGATGTAGACATTAACAAACTTGAGTGCATTGGACACGTCCAAAAGCGGATGGGAACGCGCCTCCGCAATATGAAGAAGATGAGGAAAAAACTTAGCGACGGTCAATCGCTGTCGGGCAAAAACAAACTTACACTGGCTGTGATTCAAAAATTACAAACCTATTATGGACTAGCTATTAGGCGTAATACAACCAGTGTAGATGCTATGTATAAAGCTATCTGGGCTTTGTATTATCATGTAGCATCATCAAATGATAAGCCCATGCATGACCTTTGCCCCAACGATGCTGAGACCTGGTGCAAGTTTCAGAAATGCCTCAAATCAAAGGAAGAATATGACCATAGCAAACATTTTCATGTACCAGAAAATGTAATGGCTGCAATCAGACCTATTTTTACAGATCTTTCTGATGTTAAACTCCTTGAAAAGTGCGTGAAGGGAAAGACTCAAAACCCGAACGAGTCCTTGAATAACTTGATATGGTCATTTATTCCTAAACGTACTTTTGTAACTCTACCAACTTTGAAATATGGTGTGCATTCAGCAGTGTGTGCTTTTAATGATGGATTCAGAAGCAAAGTGGAAATCATGGAAAAATTTGGACTGTGGCCAGGGAAAAACTTAGTGCAGGCTGTTGCAAAGCTGGAAAAGTCACGCCTTCAGGAAGCAGAAAAAAGGGCTCAAGACCTTAAAAAAAAATCAGAAATCTGAGAGATTTGAAGAGGAAGAGGCTGGAAGATATGTATGAGGAAGCTGAAGATCCTGACAATCCAACCTACAGCTCTGGACACTACTGAGGAGAGGAGAACAGAAGAGGAACCTGCAAGTTAACGAAAACTGGTATGTTTTTTATTAAATTGCTCTTTCCGAAAGTGAATATTTTATAACTTAGATGTAAGTTTTCTCAGCTCCTATATAAGATAGACTTACCAAATTTTTATGACAGTATCCTGATATGATTAGCTAGTATGCTACATGGTAATTTTAAATTTCATTAAAAACAGTATTGTAAATAATTTTTTTATTTACAAAAAATATCAAAAAAAAGTCTAAATTTAAAAATTCCAGTAAAAATTGAAATTTTAACCTAGGTAAATAATTTCATGTAGCATACTAAATAAAAGGCTAATGAAAAGTACAAAAAAAAAATTATGTCTCTATCTTGTATAGTTTTTAAGATATGCTGCATAAAGTTAACATTGATTAATATAGGCGTTTACAGTCCCCTTAAGGAAAGGCTCTAGGCCAGGATTTTAAATGGTAGAAAAAGGAGGATAGCAGCTAGCTTACCTTGAAAGTGTGGGTAGGCCATAGAACCATGGTTTAATAGTCCATGGACTAGTAATACTAGTGTATTTTACAAGTCTACGTTTCAAAAACTTACTAATGTAAAATACTAGTTACTAGTGTAGGGACTAGTATTACTAGTGGTTTTTACTAGTGTAGGCAGCAAGTGTGTTTCATAAAGTTTTACTCTTGTAAATTCTTGCCATTTTCTACCAACCTCTCTTCACCCGTATTATTTGTAGTAGACTAGTATTTTTGAAAAGAGTGATATTTCATTACTGACATCATTGTAAAAATTAATTATTAAGTTCCTTTTTGCAAATTGGCTCCCGTTTGCAATTTTAGATTAAAAAATAGTTTTGTGAGTGCTAAATGATAATTATCAGACACAAATTAAAATGAATAAATGTGGCTAAGCACAAAATGAGTGAAATTGATGGATGTACATTACCCAATTAGAATAATTCTATAAGTTTTAAATTAGTGTGAAAGCTTACTTTTACTTTAGTTAAGTTTCATGGTTTTATTAACTATTAAGCTATAATAACACGGAGAAAAAATAGGCTTTGAGCGAAACCATATTAAACCGCATACCGTATTGTATCTTCAAAAATGTATCCAACATTGCAACATTAATCAGATTATTTTACACCCAAGGCTCTCGGTTTTATTTAAAGACATTTTAATAGGAAATTATAGTAAGACAATTTTAAAGAGGAGTTACATAGTATTTTTTTAGATGCTTATTATTTGCTTCCCTAAATAGCTAAAACCCTGTGAGGTACTAACAATTTTGTAGGCCTGTAACAATTGATTTTGTGTATTGGACTGAACTGCTTATCATAAAAACATTACTTTTAATTCATTTAGGTGTCCTGAATTTGTTGTTCAAAGTGATAAAAAAATAAATGTTGATTAGCGCTGTCATTTAAGTGGGAAAAATATAAAAGTTTAATTAATCGAACAAAAAGAATACTGAGTAGTCCGGTTTTAACCTAGGGACCCACGACATGAGAGGCGAGAATTCTACCTCTGAGCTACGCCCTGCCATGGCGTTTGGGCCATGTTTTAATATACTTGAAAACCTAATTCTCCATTGTTGTACCAGATTTGCAATTATTCGATACATCAATAAACATTTAGGCTTATTATTCATGGTTTGTAGACTCAAAATTAGAAAATCACCAAACGATTTTCAACCCAAATATTTTTATGCATTCGAATATTTGAAAACATAGGTTAGGGTACTTGAAAACACGTTCCAAACAAAATGTCCCTAGACGATTTATTTACATTCAAAATTTGAGTCTTCTTTTCTTTACTTATAATAAACTTAATTTTATGCGTCAGAGTAAAAAATAAACTATAAAAACCACAGTGAATGCGGCAGCAACAAATCAACTTCCACCCAACTGTTGAGCACCGCAACTAGGCCTACAACCGGCTACTACAATGACCGTGTTTGTTTGCGGCGATGCCGGCGGCGGGCTCATTTGATGAACATAAATAATAGCGGTTTGATAAATAATATTTGATTGTTTTACTTATATGTCTATATAGTTATTAATTAAAAGAAGACAGCTATTAGTTTCTACAGCTATTTATTTTTAGTATCAAATGGAAAAAAAATTAAAACCCTTTATGAAGCGTCAGAAAACCCGTGATTGAGGTTAGCAATTAGTGTTGAGAGTTCACTTGTAAAGTTGGTCACGTCTCACCATCCTTATGCGCAAGTTGACAGACTCCTGCAAACTACCTTAGCCACTAATGCACATCTTTTACGTCTTGACACTCTCCTGTATCAGGGTCGTATTTAACTATCTGCCGCCTCTAGGCAGCAAAGTTAGCCCCCCCCCCACCCAAGTCAGTGCGCTCACCGACCATACCACCCCAGCCCCAAGATTACCCCAATACATGCCCTGCCAGCTGTTTTTATGGAAAAGTAATCCAAAAAATCCAGCAGGCAATTGCATGCTGCATCAACAAATCTAAAACATTTTGAACCATTTTTACAGACGTTTTTGTTTCCCGTTTACATGCAAAACGTGATTCTGTTTTCCATACATGGAATGCAACGTTGTTGTATCCAATCAGAAAAAAAATTTGCCGCCCTAGACGGGTGCCTAGCCTGCTTATTTGGAAATACTGCCCTGTTCTGTATACACATCCTTCTACTGGCAACGGACTTCAATAGGGGTTGATTCCCTTCCTGCAGAGATCTATAATCACAGAACACGACTGATACTTGGTGAAAGATTCAATTTTTCTTCACATCATTTTCGTTCACACACTTGGATGGAAACCGAGAAAAAAGTAGTGTAAATACTATATAGTATAGCAGTACTATATTGTATAGTAGTGTGTAGAGTAAATATTAGTAGTAGTAGTAGAAGTAGTAGTTCTTTTTCATATAAATAAAAAAAAAAAATCAACGCTAATGTAACATTTGAACTAGCTCACATGGTCGTGACAGGAGCTATTTGGAGACCTTAATTTACAGACAAACCATTGTAGATAATGCCTTGTATTCATTCAAAAGTTCAGATTGATAACATTATTAATTTTACATACCACCAATTTTAAACTAGCCTTTTCAAATCAGTTCTTAGAATTTATATATTCACTTACCGGTAACAGTATTGTTTACTTACTTAACATCATTGTTTTGCTACTTTACAGTACAAGTTTGGACCAATAAGGTTTGAGGATTGAGAGAAAAGAAGTAAATTTATAATACTTTGAGTGACAACTTATCAGCGGTTAAGGCCAATTTGATTGATTATACAATGAATGAGTGAGTGGTTGGGACAATGAGTCGTTGCATCACAATCACTGGCTGTGAGAGGTTATAAACAAAAACATAACCTCTCTTAGACATTATGAGTAGTGATTGTTAGTTATCGAAAATGTTTGTAGGTAAAGTAGTGGTAGCAGCTTTAAAGGCACTCACCAAGGCTCGTACTTCAAGTTTTCTATTTGTGTCTTAAAGACTATTGTTACGTGACCGTTACGTAAACTACTATAATTTTACTTAGAATTACAATAAACTTACCCTCAAAATGTATTCTTTGGAGTTTGCCCTTAGCATAAAGAACTCTATGAGAAAGCTCTTACTGTGGACTAGTTTGCTAATATGTTCAAGTTCTAACTCCAGGTACCTAAAATCAAATTACAAAATCACTAAACGAATTTACAGTTATTGCAATCCATACAGTCTGGTTTATTAGCTATCAATTAGCTTTTTATATAAGCTATTGTAATTTGACTCAATAAGGATTTGCTTAAAGAATCTGCCAATCTCAGATTTAGGTTGTTATGACGAATCATACACAAATTAAAATCAATGAAACTTAAGTATAAAACTGGCCTTTTAATGTGAAATTGTATTAGGTTGACAAACAATTATACAATTATCAGTAAAAACAGGGTTTTCCTAAATGAATAATGGTGCAGTTTCGAATACTTATACAAATATGACCAGGTGAGGTAGAAAAATGAGGTTGGTTTGGTATCACTGAATTCTTTACTCAAATAATTTTGTCACACTGTCTTGGAAAACAGCTGTTTCATTGTTGTCGTTGACGTTTGCAATTACTCAAAATATTAGAAGATTATTTAACTAAGCTGCTCCTCATGGAAATAACATCAGACGTTGGAGTAAACAGTTCATAGAAATGGGACCATGTACAAAAACGGAAGGCGTCTGGGAGACAACCTGTATCAGTGGTAACAATTGAATACGTAAGACAGTATTGCCTTAGAAGTCCTGATTTAACTCAATGTCCAAGATTCGTGATGTTGCTGGTTTCAAGACAAGGATTTATGAAACAGTGTCGTTGGTAACAAGATCCATGTTGCACAGCGTATGGTCCGAGATCAACCATCGATTAAATGTCTGCAGAGCACTCAATGGTGGACATATATAAATGTATCACTAAAAAACTTTTTTGAAATGAGAACTTAAATAAAATAAATATTTTTAAGATGCCTTTCACGGTTCTTTTTTTATTTACCTTTAAAACCACATAATTTATTTAGGAAAACCCTGATTAGCACATAACTTTTTGTGTTGACCTTTATTTACTTCATTAATTTAAAATATTTGTCAAAATTTTGAGAAAAACAAAATGCATGCTTACCATAAACACCCAATTTTAGCATCAATGACTACGTTTGGAGAAAACATAATCCAATTAGAAGAATCTAGGAAACTGTTAAGGACAAATAGTTTATAAATGAAGGATTCATTTATTATAGCAATGATTAGAATAAAATATAACACAAATACTTTGCTGGTGTTATAAAGAGTCCATGTTGCGGTAGATTACACATTGATTAATAAATCAATGGAAGGATTTGGAAACTTATTTTTTTAATTTTTTTTAAGAGGTTGGCGACCTCTTTTAACCTTGCATTTGCCTGTCCACATAGACTACAGATCTGTGCGTGGGACGTATCCAGCAAAGCAAAGGGTGAGCCGGTACAGTACGAAGGTGAACTGTACTGATAAAATGTTTACGGCAGTGACCAGGATCCGAACCCACGACATCGCTGCCTTGGGCCCAAAGTCCGTGACGCTACCAACTGAGCCACTGACTCACCAATTTATTTTGTAATTATATAGAGTAAATCTTAATCATCAATCTTTCACTTATTTATTTATTCCAACGGTTTATTATTGACAATCTCTACGATTCATTACTGCATGATGTAAAAATGTCTTTTTAACACGTTCGCTGCGGGCCATCAAATGGCAGGCGTAGCCCCAGTGCGGCGCAGCCCGCAGCGTCGAACAAACCCGATTGCCGGGTGATTGGCTCTCATATTTTGGTATGACGAATAGCAAATAACGTGCGGTGATGTCCTGTAGTTCGCTAAACACTCACATATAGCAGCACTGCTTGGAACGTAGCCGGTCCCATCGTATTGCCAATTGGAGGGAGAAAGACGGGACAACAAGTTGATTTTTAAGTTTGCCAGACAGGGATTTTATGGGGAAATTTTACTACCAACCTACAACACAACAAAAAGCAAGTCACCCACTACACGCTAACGTGGAATAGGTCTGCCTTCGACCGACGCTAGAGCAAAAACGATGATATACGAAAGGCATTGCCGAGCATATCCGATCGGTTACGGCAGCATCTGAACAGCGCTCGGCCCGTATCCGATCGGATACGCCCGCAGTGAACGTGATAAGGCCACACTATCTTTATCCATATTGTTGCTAAGAAAGAAAAGCTCCCCTTAACTCCTGTTTTTTATTATTATTCAGGGCCGTACGAAGGGGGGGCAACCGAAGCAATGAAATGGAAAGGTGACGTCAACAAATTTGTCCGCTCTGTTTTACACACCCCTTTTCCCAGTCCCTGTCTGCTGTCGTCGCTGCATGCATGCTATGTTACAACTGAGAACTGATTTCATTCACTGAGGACTGATGACGCCGTAATGTTTGGTAAAATGTGATTGGGTGATAAGTAACTATGGTTACTTGTACAATTTTTGGATGAAGAGAAACCTGAGAAAGAAAAAGAATAGAAGAACAAAGCAAAGAGAAAGAAAAATAGCAATATCGTTATCTTAACATTCCTTTTACGAGTGTTTTTATTTTTTATTATCTTTCATTTGGCTATGATTATATACTTTTATAACGACTTATCTAATATTTTTATTATTTTCATTGTTTAAACTAAGGCAACACCAATGCTATAGTTGATGATTATTACAGTATCGACATTCCTCTGTTGTTATTTAAAGTAGTACTGTGGCCTACCGGCCTATCACGAGCAGTTGCTTACAAAACTCTGTACTGTTTCGTTTTGTTCTTTACGTGGTTTATTGCTATACAATACAGTGTTTGGCTAGCTTTTAGGTGGGTTAGAGTAAGCTGCGATTTTAAACTTACAGTTTGTAACCTGTACCAAGGTCAATGACTAGAAATGTCATGATTGCGCAATATTAAAGACCCCTTCTCTTTAGTACCCTGGATAATCGAGGTTCTACTTTACAATGTAAACACTAAACTGTAAAGTATTGTAGCCTCGGCTACTTTAATTGTGTTTTAATGAGGTCAAATACCGACCTATATTGACTGACACTGGTTCTGAACCTCGACTTAGCAAAATTCCTAACCTCAATAATGAACCTCGTTTTAACGAAATCCTTGATATAACGAATATTCAGTTCGGTCCCTTCAGATTCGTTATACCGAGGTTGGACTGTATTGCAATATAATATCTTTGCTCCACTAAAAATATCTCTAACAGGAAACCCCATAAAAAAATCTCCTGAGGAAAAAATGTTGTCTTCTTTGGTGCAATATTAAAAAGGATACAAAGTTCTGCATTTTCACCACGTATGGGTTGAGGAGGCATCACGGGGGAGTGATAGTAAACAGACCCATCACATTCAGCTTCCAATCCGATGTCAAACATCAGTGAAGTCTACCAACATAACAAACACATTGTGTTTTAACAATATTCCTAAACGACTGACACAGATTAATCTTTAAACACAAAGCTTTCTTTGAACACAATTGCAATGACATTACGGTTCCTTTTTATTATTTTGAAATAGTAAAAAAGAGAAATTTCTCTATGTAGGCCTACTATAACCATACCAGAATTAATGCTTTAATTGATTCGCAATAGGATACAGAATAATCCTATTTGGTTCAGGGCCATGTGGCCCTAACTTAGCCTGAATAATAAAGAATTTTTATTTCATTTAAATTAGGGATGGTCAAGTCTCGAAATTTCGGGAAATTTTCGGGAAATTTTCAATCTCGTTACACGAGACGAGATTACTTTTTGGCCGAGATTTTAATCGAGACGAAAAAAAAAAAAAAATATTAAAAACGCCTGCAGAAAGTCAATGCAATACCCGCAATACAGGAGCGTGTTGTAGTTGCGTTTCCTTTTCGAAGGCGTTCTTATTTAATTAATTCTTTTAATGTAAATATTACTTTAATTCTTTTAATGTAAATATTACTTTCATTATTTTAATAATATTACTTTAATAACATTTGAGAAGTTTTGTTAAGTGTAAGCAGTGTGAGGAATGTTTTATTACTATAAAAAAAGTCAAAACAAGTAACTATTTTATAAAAATTAATATTGCTTTTATTTTATGATTTATTTTATTTTAGGATAAGTTGAACTCTATCCTAACTGATATCACCATGTTTCCTAATCGTAGGCATTTTTAATAAGTTAGGCGTGATTAATAAAAAAATGTTATGCTGATGTTATTTAATGAAAGATTGTAAATATTCTTGCCTATTATCATTATTTTAGTATTTAAACAGTCATCTAACAATGTTACAAATTCAGGTAAAAATTTTGAACGTGCATTTCCCGTTGTGTATGAGAAGAGAAATCTCGTCTCGATCTCGTCTCGAAATTTTATGAGAAATAAAAAATCTCGTCCCGTCTCGTCTCGAACTAAAAATCCAATCTCGTCCATCCCTAATTTAAATCATCATCCTTTCTTCGGAAAGGCTAAATAATAGAAAAAAAGGCTACAACAAACTAAATATTAACAGTTTCCAGCTTTTTAAAATCTATTGCATTATTTTTAATCGAAAAACAATAAACAAAATAAAATACAAAAATCATTAAGGGAATTCAATTTTTTCACAAAACACTGTAAAAAAAAACTGTGTTTGAAAAAAAAAACTGTCATTAAGAGAATTAATTTTTTTTTCTTTTACTAAATCTACCTTAGCTCTTTGCAACTAATAAATGAAAATTGACTAATCCTAGGAAAGTTAGTACAAACCCACTTACTTTAGAGGCTTGGTGATGAACAAAAATAAGATTGTCAACAATACTCAAGGCAAACCTTCCACTTCTACCGAGGTTTAAAATGTGGGTTTTCTTGACAGTGGACATCCTGAAAATGGAAAATATTCTTTAAATTGAAAATACAGATTGATAATAATTATCTCATAGTGTAAACCAGGGGTCTCCAACCTATGGCCCGGGGGCCGGATTTTGAAGAGATTTTATTCTGCCCGCGAAGGCCTACTGGGAAATCATTATTTTTATATAATTAGAATAAATAGATGATCATCAAAGTTGTATTAACAGCCGTAAGTAAATGATACAGTCTTGGTGATATAGTGATTGGCATTCACAATGACGGCAAATTGGCGATACCGTGATCGTCACTCAAGGTCACGGCATGTTGGGCACATTTTACCCATAAGTAAATGTTGCGGTCTCGGTGATCGTCATTCGAGATCGAGGCAACACTCGTGAGCATATTTTGCGGTCTCCGTGATACCGCGATCTTCTCCCGTGATCGCGACTACACGGTGAACATCTATTGCGGCATCAATAAAATTTCTGTGATGATCTCCAGTGATCGTGATTTACTTATGATGTTAAAAGAGAACCAATGGAACGCCTTCAATGAATGGTGATCATTGTAGTCCTTGGTATTTACCAAATTCAAGTACAATTCTCGGTGCCCAGGTTGGCTAGATACCCAGATCTCCTGTTGGAATGTGTGTATAATACACCTCTTTCACAGTTTTTTCCAATAGGAGAAAATAAGCTGTAAGCATGTGTTTATGGTGATCGAGCTACCTTAATACAGATCTTCCAAGCTAAGCGAACCATTGAATTGAAAACAATCCTAAAGATCAGAACAACAAACTTTAACCCTGATTTGGCTGACCTTAAAGTGCAAAAACAAAATTCTCTCTAAAAATTGCTGTTAATTTTAGCTATACACCACTCCTTGTAAACTCATTGTCAATTATTCATATTGTCATTACAATTAAATGTTCAATCAAGTAAACTTAGAAGTACATAAAAAATATTTGGTGTCATGTCATCCCGTGTTTTCATCAGTTCTACTTAAAAACTTCCATTATAGAACAAATAATAATATCATGGTAAATATACTGTAAAATTAATTGATATTAAACTTTCTCATGAATTTGAATACATAGCCCTACTTAAGTTATGACAAAGTATAAATATGACAAACACAGTTTATATAGGTACCCATAAATAATTATGCGAGGTAAGTAGCCTAAATTATTTTGTTTGGTCACAGTACCATTCGCACAAAAACGTACAAAATTTTAGTTAGTCAAAAGGTTATATAGCAACAAAATATCAGTAAGAAATGTTCAAACTTCATTGCTGAGCTCTCAATTTGAAAACTACTTCTTTGTAGGGTTATTTGTGGGTGGGGGGGCAGGCTACTTTTCTACAGCAAAATGTTAATTGCCTTTCCTCCAAAAGCTGTCAATGTGGACCTTGAGTAATAAAGGTTGGAGAACCCTGGTGTAAACACTAAACAGGGGGTCCCCAAACTACCTATACCCCTTTTGTGGGATTGTTCTCATAACCATGGGTCTCCTATGCCTGGTTTTACATCTATCTGCTCGTATGTGTTTTTTTCCAAATTTATTTATAGCTTCTTAACGCTTCAACATAGAATCTTTAAATTTGGTACAGAAATATAAAATTATGTCATAATGAACTTACAACAATTTTTTTATTTATTTTCTAACTATTTCAAAATGGTGGTTATTTAAAAATGTAGATCTTTGATATCTCGAAAAGCAAGAACTTTATCGAGAAAAAAAATAGAATTGTAATAAAAATTTTTGAATTTAAAGAAGGATCTAATGACACCTTAATCAACAAAATCTGTTGGAAAATAACAAAGTAATGACACTTTTTATCACCCAATATTTTAATTATAACAAACTATAAGACATTTGAAATGTTTCATCATGTGGGCTTGTGCATGTATGTACACAGTTTCCACGATTGTGGGAGACAATGACCGTGGAAGATGTTCTTGATTTTCCTGTAAACTGGGGAAAATGTTAACAATTTCGGCATGACAATAGAAGATTTTATTGATTTTGATATAACCACGTAGGATGTTCACGATCGCAATGACTATGAAAGATGTTCACGATTTCACTGTGGCATGGGGAGATGTTCAATATTATGTTAAAGCCAATCGTGGTAGTAAAATTAATTTTTTTCTTTAAATCAATACTTTCCAAAACAACCTGATTTTGGCCTAATCTGACCCAAATCTGGCCTGAAACCCAAGGTCTAAAATTGTTTACTTGATCCAATGTAAAAAGGTTTGGCCTGCAGATCCCTAGTAAAAACAGCAAACCTACCATGATCATAAACAAATGAATTACCATCCAAAAGTAGAAATTGCCGCTATTTTATCATACTTCCAGGTTAGAATCTCTATTTTAATGTGATCCGTGAAAATTGTGGACAACAAACCAAATTGAACCCAATTAAAGTTTAGTGGATTGAAATCCTCCTAGACTGATGTGCATACTGAGGAAAGAGACATAAAAGAAGGCACTTACTTTTTAATAGTATAGATGAAAACTTGAGCGCCTTGATGGTTGGAAGTGGACTGATGACGGAGAACTAGTACTCTAGGTTGACCGTAGACAATTCCAACAACTGCATCTCTCTCCTCTACCACTAACTTCTGAGATCTCGGTACCCCAGACATCTCAACTGTGAAAATGGATATGTCCACATTGTAAAAAGCCACAGCAAACTTATCACTGTGCATTTATTTTATTTTTTCATCTCAACGGGCAAACAACCAAGCATATATATAATGACAAAACACATTAGGCCTAAATCAGTTATAAAAGAAAAAGTCAGAGTGCATTTAATTGCAGCGAACTTTAGGGCAGATATAAAAAAAAATAAATACAATAATACAACCATATAAAAATATAAAAATGTACAAAATATAGTAAATGACAATATAAATGGGAAACAGATATAACAATAGTAGGGTAGTATGTAAACAGGCAAAAGAAATGAAGGAATTGAATATAAATTAGGATGATAATGGTGGCCAAGCATTTTGTTTAAAAATAATAATACGACATAGGAAAGCATATGAACAATTTAACAAAAAAATATAATTTACTCAGTATGGAACGCAATTCAAAAGTTTTGTTTTGAAGGGATTCATGGTGAATAGATCCAGATGTCCAGGTAGGTTGTTGGATGAGAAAATGCACCATGTAGCCTACTGGGTAGTGTACTGCCGCCTCTCAAACAGCTGAGAATGGTGAAGGTTACGTGAAGTACGGTCTAGCTTCACGAGCAGGTCAGAAGCATCGATGGTGGATGTGATCAACTTCTTCAAGAACATGATATCATTGACTTCTCGTCTAGTACAAAAGGGCAACAGGTTCAACTAGTGTTGCAGATCTTGAACACAAACAGCACGGTATTGCATCCCCAAACACAGACCAACCAGACGAACATAACGGCTTTGAGTGTTTTCCAACCTGGTGATTTGACGAAACAGGTACAGGTTCCACACTGTGGAAGAAAACTCAAGTATGGGTCTGACTAGATAGAGATATAAAGAGTTACCAGTGCCTCCAAGAAGCTCAAATTGGTCATGAAATGATTTAACATAATCTTGTATGGATTTATTTCATGTTTTCAGGCAGATCATTAAGACGATCAAATTTAGCATTAAGATCATCCATCTTTTGAGACAAGTTAGAAGGATTCGTACTTAAATCAGGTGTAGGTGGCGAGGATTTACAATCCACACGAGTGCAATGCCACTTGCTGTCATTGTCGATAGATATTTTGTTGCAAGGTACGGCGAAACAATCGATCACGTTCACAACGCTCATCATATTAAAGTCCATCATCAGAGCTCAGAAATTATTTATAACAAGTATGCAAATCGTCTTTTCCATGATTTTACAATATAAATCTTACTCCGAAGTATTATTCAGTCTGAGGCTACTTGATCCACTCCAGATGAAATGATCAGAGAAGGGGAAAACAAGAATACTTGAGAGGGTGTATTGAATATAGTAGTATAAGGAGCAGTGAAGAGCGATCTAGAAGGCTGTGGGAAAAAGATTCTGGTATTGTAATTAAGTGAGATGGTGAGATAGAACACCACATACAGCTCACTAAATAAGTCGAACCAGACCTAGAATAATTTGACCCCAAGCAAGTGATTGAAAACACAGATACACAAAACAAACTCAAGAGCGAACAACACAGCTACCATTCAAGTCAGCCATCTAGAAGGTAAAAAAGTCATACAAGTAATGGATTTTGGTGGGTATGGATCTAGATGTTAACCAGTGATGATAAATTTAGCTAAGGCAAATCGTCATAAACTGAAACAAATTTATATTTATTTATAGTGTTAGTACCTGAATTTCATTCTCGGTACCAGCAGTCTTTGAAAAAATACCAGTATCGAGAATCAAAGTTATGATGTCATTACTGGTACTTTGGTATCAACAGAGCGGGAGTCTATTAGTGGCACAGTCTGACGGTACTGCTATGGACTTGGGCATCAGGTGAATTGTGGCCATGGTGATCATAAATAGTTTCTTAGTGTGTTTTATTATTGTTTAATACCATGGGTGATGTGTCTAAACCAAACTCGAAAGCACCAAAACATTGGAAAAGGAATTTCAGCAACACCCGTGAGCAACGGTTGTGATCATGGCAACATCGGCCATGAAACGGTGGCCTTTGTAGCTCCTGGTGGGGGGGCGAAGCTTGTTCTTAACCCAGCAAACCTGAGGGGTGAGAAGCTGACTGAGGAAGATGTATTAGTAGTTTTGTGCGGAACTAATGATGTTTCACGTAATGAAGCACATGAAGCTGTAAGTATAATAAAGGATGCTCTTGACGAACACGTTAATAAACATATAATTCTGGTGAATATTCCTCATAGATATGATCTTGCAGAGTGGTCGTGTGTTAATGAGGAAATTCGGAAAACAAATAGAATCCTGAGTGAACTGAGCTGTAATTACTCCAATGTAAAGATGGTAAATGCATATGAAGCAGGGAGGCACCTTCATACCCACCATGGCTTGCACCTGAACAACAAAGGTAAACTATGGTTATCCCAAAAAATCTGTGGGGTAGCAAAGTCTTTTTACGCTCCCATGGAGAAGATCGATCTTCAGACCCATATTCCATTGTCAGAAGTTCCTAACATGGCTGCTGTACATATTCCTGAGCCCAACCATCCACTGGAGGAAACACTGCCGGAACCATTAGTAAGAAAATCTAACACAGAAGAGCCTGGTGTGTCTGTACCAGTGATGTCAAGATGCCCTCAGAGACCAGGAGATACGAGTCAACCACCTCCTCCAGGAACAGAGTTGCTGTCGGGAAACTCCACCCCACCGGCTTCAACGGTTCATCGACAACAACTAGACCCTCTGACCCATCCATAGATTTAATAAATTTTACTAGTTGTGATGAAATTAGCTTAAGTAAGTCCAGCAAATGTAATAATGTTTTAATAAATGGTAGATCAAACAAGAAAAAAATCAATAGTTTTACAGGTAATAAAAGTTATAATAATGTTCACACAAAAAACACTGTAACAATTTATCACCAAAATTGTCAAAGCCTTTTGAATAAAGTCAATACATTGGAATTGATTGCAAAAGAAATGAATTTAGATTTTCTTTGTGTAACTGAACACTGGTTAAAAGTTAATGAAATCAGCATATGTTCAATTAGCAATCTTCATCATGTAACTAGCTATTGCCGAACTTCTAGAATTCATGGGGGCTCAGCAATTTTTTCTCGCTATGACCCATCATGTATCAAAGTAATGGATGATATGAATAAATTATCTGTTGATTTAGACTGTGAAATAGCAGCTGTTGAAATAATAAACATGAATTTATTGCTAGTAACCATATATCGTAGTCCTAATGGAAATGTGCAAAATTTTTTTACCATCTTAGAAAAGTTACTAAGCCAAATCAATCGGCAGAAAAAACAGTCAATTGTATGTGGCGACTTTAACATTAACTTTCTTAGTAATGATAGTGACTCTGTAAACCTTTTAAACCTTTTTAGTATGTATGGGTTGCATATGACAATTTATGAGCCTACGCGAGGTAATAATTGTTTGGACAACATATTCACCTCATTAGAAAATAATTATACAGCCTCTGTGGTTAATAAACATGTTAGTGATCACCTTGCTCAAGTTTTTACTTATAATTATAGGGTGGAAGAGAAGGATTACTTTCCTGTATGTAAAGGTAAAACGGTCACAAAAATAACTGAGGCTGGTATAAGAGAACTCAAGTATTATTTAAGAAAAGAAAATTGGAAAGAGGTATTTTACATTAACGATGTTAACTTAGCATTTAGTAGTTTTATAAATATTTTGTGTTTTTATTTTAACCTTAGTTTTGTAAAACATGTAAAAAAATGTCAAAGGAAAAAGAAGACCTCCAACAAATGTTCTTGGTATAATTCAGAGCTACAAAAACTGAAAGAAAGATTGGATTCTCTCTACCATTTATATAAAGACACAAATGTTGTTTGGTATAGAAATGAGTACAGAAAACTTAAAAATGTGTATAGATGTAAGATTAAAAATGCCAAAAAAAGGGAAAATGCTAATGCCATAGAAAACGCCAAAAATAAAACAAAAGCTTTATGGAATATTGTAAATAAACATAAAAATAAGTCAAGCAAATGTAGAGTAGATAATTATTTTAAGTCAGATGAATTTAATGAATATTTTGTGAATACTGCCTGTGATAATGTAAATTCTAGTCAAAATGTAGGAATAAGTAATTGTTGTAACTTTACTCATTATTTAAGGAAAAAAGTAGTACCTGATAGTGTTAGAGATTTAGTTTTTAAATATGTGACGGAAAATGATGTTTTAGATGTAGTAAAACAGTTAGCTCCAAAAAAAAGCACGGATCATTTTGGAATGACAAATGCTCTCATTAAGGAGACCATACCTTACTTAGTAACCCCATTAACAATTTTGATTAACAACTGTATGGCTCAAGGTGTGTTTCCTGATATCATTAAAATAAGTAAAGTTCATCCTATTTACAAAAAAGGAAAAAAAGATGAAATAGGTAACTATAGGCCTGTTGCCATTGTTCCTGTTCTGTCTAAAGTTCTTGAAATAGTTATTGGTAAACAGTTAATGCAATACTTAGAATCAAATCAACTCCTTTGTACAGAACAGTTTGGATTTCGTAAAGGGCTTTCAACGACACATGCCATTACTTCCTTGGTTGATGAAATTCTCGACTGTTATGAAAATAAGGATTTTGCTGCAATTACATTCTGTGATCTTAGTAAAGCTTTCGATCGAGTATCACATGAAATTTTGTTAAAAAAATTAGAATATTATAACATTAAAGGTAAAGTGTTAGATTTATTTAGATCTTATTTGTCAAACAGAACACAGTATGTAGTTTTGGGAGAGGATGCATCATCTATTAAGCCTGTGTATTGTGGAGTTCCCCAAGGATCTGTGCTTGGGCCTCTGTTGTTTTTGGTAGTAGTTAATGATTTAAGTGTTAATATCCCTGCAAATATTGTATTATATGCCGACGACACAACCATCATTACTAGACATGCAGATCATGAACAACTTTTGGTTGACTCTATGCATAATCTAAAGCTAGCTGAAAACTGGTTAATTTCTAATAATCTTGTTCTAAATAATGATAAGACAAAAACTGTTTTGTTTAACCTTCGTGAAGTACACAGTAGGCCAATGGATGAGAGAAATCCAAAATTTTTAGGATTAACTTTTGATTCTACTTTGACCTGGCATGACCATGTTATAGTTTTAAAAAATAAACTGAGTTCAAGTATATTTGCTCTTAAACAATTAGGTGGCGAACTAGAACGGCCTTCTCTCATACAGGCATACTATGGACTTTTTCATAGCCATATAAGCTATGGGTTGCTTGTTTGGGGGTCTTCTGCTCATGCAAAAGAAATTTTCAATTTGCAGCAAAAGGCAATTAGGGTAATAGCTGCTGTAGATAGGCACCATGATTGCACTGAATTTTTTAAAGAATACCAAATATTAACACTGTTTTCTCTATTTATTAAGCAATGCCTGTTATACTTAAGACCACAATTAGATAAGCTAGATTATAGGAGAGATATACACTGCCATAATACTCGCCATAAATGTAATATAAATCTTCCTTATGTTAGACTTGCTAAAACTGATAAAAAACCATTAATTTTAAGCAGTAAATTTTATAATAAGTTACCAATAGCCATAAGATTACTTAATGATAAGGATTTCAAGATTAAAATAAATAACTTTCTTTGTAATCAGCCATTATATTCAATAGAAGATTATATGTCAAGAACACTGACTCCACTGGATTTTAACTAATGTTATATTTTATGACTAATTTGACGTGCCAATGTATTTGTATGGAATATTAACTGGCAAATAAAAATCTCATTCTCATTCTCATTCTCATTCTCATTCATTTTTCTTTATCATGGTTGTTTTACTTGGCAAGACAATGTAAAAAGAAGTAAATTTTACAGTGAATGCTTCACTCTGTTTTTTAGTTATGAAACCTGGGGGAAAGCAGGAGTTTACAAATGGGTCCTCTTATTTGGCATAGTAATTTAAATTTATTAAGATAACCTACAAGTAAAGAGAAAGGATCAAGTGTAACAAAACGGGCTTTGGATTTTTATAGTAAGATTAGAAGTGTACTTGCAGTACCTAAATTCAACGCTTAAACCGTACTATTCTATCAATTTCACCTTCAAAACGTGGCAACTTGTGGAGATTCCCTTGCTTGATGAAGATTGGTTGCACTGTGTTGCCGAGGTTACCAGAAGACAACAGGAGAATGCTAGAATGATGGCAGAAGAGAAACCAGTTGACTGTCATTGCCAGTGACTTGGTCATCTTTACTTGGCACTTGGTGGCTTCTACCTAAAAGCAAACATTAATAAACTTTAGACTGGTAACAAAAAACTGTTATATTTTGTAAAACGGGGTAACTTGAGACAGTGTGATAACTTGAGACAATTTGCAGATTTTTTTTTACATTTTTTTGTTGGCATACCTGATGAGTTATTGGGAGTTTCTTTAGTGTGAACATGTCATGGAAGTTGATCCCTTAACTACTGCATATTAAGACATCTTGTTATATTCAAGGTAAGATACTTTATTTATTTATTTATTTTGAGTTACAGATGTTCAAAAATTATAGGCTGTTTAACTTACCTTGTAGCATCAAGTCTATTATTAGGAATTCAATGATTGTTATTACTTACCTAACCTCAAAAGCTGAGTTGTCAATAATAATCTTCTCACTAAGCTATTGCCAACCTAAAATTTATAAAAAATAAAATACCCTGTTCTGTCCTTGGTGGGGTAACTTGAGACAACTGTCTCAAGTTACCCCACTTTTGAATGTCATACTATAAAAAGTGTATATTACAATATAATAGCTTAGTTTGATTATTTTCAGGTCAAGTTATGGTGCGTAACCAGAAGAGGGCTGTAGGCTCACGCTAATATAAAGATTTTACACCAGATCAACTTGAGAAGGCTTTGAAGGATCTGGCTTGATTCCTTTAGATCGAGAACAAGTCCTAAAGAGACTTCCACAAAGGACTCCAGTCTCTGAAAGCCAAGCCGCCAACCAAGACAATTCCATGATTTGGGTTGCTACATTTCAAGAATATTTAGAAGGAAGCAGAAAACAAGAAACTGCTGGCCTAAGGAAAGCAAAGAAGAAACTGATTGTTCCAGCTGGTAAAGGAATCTGTGAAGAAGATGTCCCTGAATTTACAGATACTGGTGCCATCTCAAAACAGAAGGGAAAGAATATGAAACTGAATGAAAATCCTTCTGAAGCTGTAAATAGAACTTCTACTTTGAAGAGGAAGCAGCATAGAAATGTTGTTAGTGAAGAGAGTGAAGAAGAAATTTGGAGTGATGCAGATTTATGTGAGGACAGTTCAAATGATGACTTCGATGACTTTAGAAGAAAAATTCTCAACGCCAGCTGTTCTGATGTCGAGAAATAAGAAAATAATATAAATAAGAAAGAAGAGATAAAGATTGAAACACTTCAGCCCAAACTTCAGGAAATAAACAAGCAAGTTGGGTCTTTTATAATTATAAGCTACGAAGGCAAGTTTTACCCTGGGGTGATTGGACGATTTGACGAAGAAGGTGCTACAGTCAGTGCTATGAAGGGGACTCTCAAGGATAACTGGAAATGGCCGGAAAAAGGGATGAACTTGACTATCATTGGGAAGATACTTTTGGTGGTATTAACCCCCCTAAAATGCTCAATAAGAGGGGGTTTTTTTCTGTGCCAGAATTGAACGAAATTTACTAAGTTATGCCTGAAATTGTGAAAAAAAATGTTTCCTCTTTTTTAAATACATTTTTTTCAAGTTTGTAAGTCCATATGTGTATTCCTTTGTTTTCCTAGATATTTTATTATGTCTCAAGTTACCATTGCATTATCTAATTTGAGACAACTGTTGTTTAACATCTGTGTCTCAAGTTACCCCATTTATATGGGTAACTTGAGACACTAATAAAAATAAATAAATAAATAAAATTTCTATATTTACATCAATTATTAAATGTAGAAACCATAGTAACCAGGGTAACTAATGTTTTATTCTAGTTTTTGCAGATTTCCCTATACAATTATTTGGTAGGGGTTTCTTTTAAATAGAAAAATGTCTCAAGTTACCCCGTTTTACTCGTTAAGTGAAGTTCCACAATGGCCTGATCTAGGACCATTTGGTGAACAGCGTGAAATAACCACTTATGAGCACTGAGAGAAGAGGGAGCATGAGTGATATCAGAGCCCAAACTCCAAAATTCAAAGGTTTGGATTGCTTTTGGATATGATTGCTGTACACCTCAAACACAACCTAACCTAAATTTGTCTCCCACTCACAATATTTTTGACACAAACCCATCTAACACCCAAGCTAATAGCACCCGAGTAAGTAACGTAGTCCTAATACAGCAAGGAGTAAGATTTTGATCGTATCAGATAGTCATGGCAAAGATTTAGCTAGCTATCTAACTGTTTTGACTCAGACTTAATTTAATATTTTATCTCTGTGTAGACCTGGTGCTAAACTAGTTGATTTTATAGACCGACTTAAAAAGCAGGTTGAAGGTATGTGTAGTAAAGACACGGTAGTAATTATTGGAGGCAGTAACGACATTTTCCAAGGGGCTGTCTTTAATTATATCTAGCAAAGTGAGGAAAAGACTAAAATATCTCAAGAATCTAAACGGGCCTAAAGTAATAATGATGAAATTGCCACCGAGGCATGATGATCCAAGACTCAACTGGACAATCCAAAAGTGTAATAAGGGACTTGAGGCTTTAATTTTATATCTATGGGTAACTTTCACAGAAGGCTTTTTACAAAACATGGGCAACACCTAAACAAACCAGGTAAATTGTTATTGAGTAAGCACATATTGTCATGTTTAATTAAACTAAATAATAAGAGTAATGTAACTTCAAATGAATAAGAATAAGAACTTTATTTAGCCAGAAAATATTTCATGCAAATACATTGGAACGTCAATTTAATAAATTATATTCAACAGAAATCCTTAACAGTCCATTGTCTTGACATATACTCTTCTATAGAATAAAAGGATCCTTTACATAGAAAATAATTTAATTTAATTTTAAAATCCTTATAAATAAACAATCTTATGTCTAATGGTAACTTATTGTACAACTTAATAGGAATCATCATTGGTCTTTTATCTGTCTTAACAAGTCTTACTTTCAGGAAATTTATGTTATTTCAAAAACGAGTATTATAACTGTGCACATATTTTCTACAGTCTAATTGGTAAATATTGGCTCTCATGTAAAGTAGACATTGTTGTATAAATAAAGAAAACAAAGTCAATATTTTAAACTCCTTGAATAGATTTTTACAGCTATGACACATATTTACACCAGCAATGACTTTAAGAACTTTTTTTCATAATAAAAACTTTATTTGCATGAGGAGTAGATCCCAAAACAACCAAACCACACCTTAAATGGCTATGAAATAGTCCATAATAAGCCTGTATTAAAGCATTCTGATTCAATTCACCACACAAACATTTCATAGCAAATACACTAGAACCCTTCATAAGTCAATAAGTCTTCCCTTCACCAAATGAACATGATATTGCCAATTTAGAGTAGTATCAAAAGTTAGCCCCAAAAACTTTGGATGCAAATTTACATTTGGCATCTCAGGAATCTCTCTACGGCTAAATACTATAGTTGTTGTTTTATCTTTATTTAAAATTAAATTATTTGCTGTAAGCCAGTTCTCAACAGCATTTTTATTCAACTCACAGTTTTCTAAAAGTTGACTATAGTCTGAACTCCTGGTGATTACCGTGGTGTCGTCTGCGTATAAAACAATATCTGTAGGGACATTTACACTTAAGTCATTGACCACTATCAAGAACAATAATGGCCCAAGTACAGAGCCTTGAGGGTCTCCACAGGTTACAGGTTTACATTGAGACAGGTTATTTCCTAAAGCCACATACTGAGATCTATTTTGCAGATAAGACCTAAATAAATCTAAAGCCACACATTTGATATTGTAGTAATTTAATTTTTCTAACAGTACTGTAGAGTGTAGATGAAACTCGACCAAAGGCTTTGCTTAGATCAGAGAAAGTGATTGCAGCAAAGTCTTTTTTCAAAACAATCTAGCACCTTATCAACCATAAAAATAATTGCTAGAGTTGTTGATAGTCCTTTTCGGAATCCAAACTGTTCTTTGCAAATCAAATCATGGGATTCCAAATATTCCATTAATTGTGTACCAACTACTAGTTCCACTATCTTAGATAAAACAGGTACAACTGCAACAGGTCTATAGTTACCTATATCCTCTTTTTTAACCTTTTTTATAAATAGGAAGAACTTTTGTGATCTTTAAAACATCAGGAAATATTCCCAGTCTTAAAGAACTATTAATGAGAACTGTCAGTGGAGACAAAAAACTGGTAATAGCTTCCTTAATCAAAGCGTTAGTCACAAAACATAGTGGTCTTGACTTTTTTTAGGAGCTAATTGCTTAACTACATCTATAATATTCTTTTCTGTTACAAACTTAAAACTAAATTCACTAATATTATCAGGTACAATCAGGTTACTTAAATATAAATTGAAATCACAGTTACTATTTACACAAGAACAGACTAATTGAATCTTTGGCAACAATAATTAAAATGTCATTGAATTCATCTGGTATAAAATAATTATTATCACTACTATTTACAGTACCGTATCTTTTTTTATTTTTATTTACAATATTCCATAACGCTTTTGTTTAATTTTTTGCATTATCAATAAAGCTAACGTTTGCCTGTTTTTTTTTGTTTTTTTTTTTGCCTCTTTAATCGAACGCCTATATATAATCTTGAGTTCCTTATACTCATTTTTATACCAAGCAATATTTGTAGGATTTTGAGAGGTCATACAGCAAATCTAATCAGTCTTTAATGTTTTAAGCTCTAAATTATACCATTGACATTTTGTTTGTACTTTCTTATATCTTACTTTTTTATTAGTTATTGTTGTTACAAAAAACACTAAAATAATATCTCTAGGTATCTATAAAATTTCTAAAACTAACATGAATGTCATTTGTCTGAAAAACATCCTCCCAACATTCTTTTCCTAAATAGAATTTGAATTCTCTATCTAATACATGTCTGTTTGCTACATTGATTGTACAGTTGTCATTTAAAGATGTAAATACAATATCTAAGCATCTTTTCCCTCTAGTAGTCTCAGTAACTTTCATCTGTAAACCATACATATTAAAGAGATTTACAAGGTTCACAGGAACTTTTTCAATACTAAGAAAATCCATATTAAAGTCACCACATATAACTGATAGCGATAACTGTAATTAAAACCAACACTTCGTTTTCCTTCTTGATGTTGTTCGGGTTGAAAAAAAGCTTCAGGCGCAACAAATAGGGCGAAATGTCTTCCTCAACTGGATTAAATCCTGAAATTCTGCCAACACTGATACTTGCCATTGTCAATAATGTCTAGTCTCATACACGCACTAGCCCTAAAAACAACTTTTATCCCGTACTACCCTAACTAGGATAGAAATAGTTAAGCTGATAACCGACTGCGCCAAAATGACGTAACCTTAAAAGTTAACTTAAGAAAAGTGGACAGCGTGAAAGAACCACTTACGATAATGGGTGGACATAGAAGAAGGAGGCCGTGACAATGCGTCCAACTTCAGGTTGAGTGGCACAGTGCAGCCACCCCGCAAAACGTAATAATTCTTCTGTTTAATAACTAGTATGAAATTATAATGACTTGTACTAAATTACCAAAAGTGAGCACAGGTTGTTTACACACATATAGTCAATACATGAAACATAGCATAAATTCATTCAGTGGAGTTGTTAATAGTTTTGATCAACATTCTCTATCCAAAACAAAGATTGTAATTGATTCTTATGCTCTCGGGTTTGGGTTTGGGTGTATCACTAGGTACATAGAAAACTAGGCCTACATGATATCAATATTTGTAAAATTTTAAAGACTACAGCCATAGAAAAAGTTGTTCTTAAAAATTGGAAAGTTTGAAATACCGTAACATTTGATCTTGTAAAAACTTGTAAGTAAAAAAATTAAGTTATGAGTTTGATGTGCCTAGGATAAGGAGAGTTATATGATGTGTTACCTGGCATAACTCTACACCTTGATCTGTTACATAAACTATATCAGAAGCAGACATCCAAACGAATCCAAGAATTTTAGCATTCTTGCTCTTACAGGGATGAGAGAATTCTACGAACTGGTTTCCTTCTTGAAAATGTATGAATTCCTGTAACAATAAATACTGTTTAATAGGACTTTGTAGCATTGAAACATATGCCTATACAATATCAATACTTATCCGTAACTATTGACCTCATCTTAATGCCATGAACCAGTTAACACACTTATAACTTCAACAACATAATACAAACACACAAAACACAAAATAGTAACCACCAGAATTTAACACTGAAAACCACCAATGGGAATGTTCGAGAGAACCTGAGTACGTTTTAATCCCTGATGGATATGATTATGGCCTAACAAAAGCCAAAACTAGTGTCATTCACAAAGGACAAATCAGAGCTGAACATAATAATACTAAATATATTTTAGGCAAACAAAAAATAACTAAGACAATTGGGAATGTTCATTGGCTAGAGCAGATAATTTATCAAGAACATAAGTTACACTCACAAAAGTTATTAATATCATAGACTGTCACGGTGTGTGTGAATGCCACTGAATATCTTGGTGGACAAATTCTTTTAGACACGTGTTGTAAATGCACCTGAACAATATAAATTCAGCTTGGTGAAAAACAAAACCACATGAATCAAACATACCACACATGATGATGTCCTTTGAACAGCCAAAATATTTTGAGAAAAATTGAATTTAATTGAGATAACTGGACCTTTCTCCTTCATCTTGAAACTTCTGACGTGAGAGGGAGGGCATCTGACAATGATTTCTGTCATCTCTCCTGACTGCACTGAAAATACCTGAAAATAACAAAGCGTTAAAGAATCTACCATGACATAGTGTACATCTGAAATAGGGGTTCAGTTCCAAGTGCAAGAAAATGATGAGTGGCTTGACCCCCAAGTGGGAAACGGAAGCCTGGCGAGCTCTGGCCCTAATCCGGGGTCGAACCCTTTTACGCTTCATTAGCCTTCAGTTCGCACACCAACTAGCTTTCCCCCCAAGAATACCTCTCTCCCCAAAAAGTACCTGACCCGTGGGTAAGAGAAGAGGATGACTTTGGTGCCCCGGTGGGGGGAGGGGTGCAAAGGGCAATGGCTCTGGGGAGGAAACACTTCCGTTACTGAGAGGGCAACTGATGGGATAGTGACCTTCCTAGAATTGAATTCTTATTGTTGAGATATTAAGTTAAACAAAATGTATTGCAGCCAATTCTTTGAATCACTAGAGTAATAGCATAAAGACGATTCAGGAAATGATCTAGCTATTTCCGTCTTAAATTAAACTTAAGCATAGCATGAGTAATATATGGACGGCTCAGGAAATTGCCAAATAGTTTCTAATACATAGTTGTTTCTAGCCTTTATATTTTCTGCTCCCTTAGTGCACTGTTTCATTTTACAATAAAAACCAAAAACTTAGCTGTGTTTTTTTTGGGAATTTTATTATCACTTTATTATTGTTATATATTTGTTATTGTGAATATTGTTTTATATAATTTATCATCTATTTAGTCAATCAAATTCATAAGAACAATAAATTGTTTTATATCCCTTGTTGAGTTCACAATAAAAGTATATTTAATTTTGACCGTATTTAAATAATGATGATTAAATTTAAAACAATAACGAAGGCCTAGTAACTAGTGTTGCATATACAACACTCGGTTGTGAATTTTCTTGTGCTTTGCCTTGAAACAAAAATTAGTTATATATGAGCGGTCTCTGGAAGATCACGCGGGTTTGGATGAATAGTTTAATGATGCCTATTGATTTGTTTCTATTGTTTCAGTACAAATTGATCAGTTTGTTAAACGAATTTTCTATTCAAAGGTATAGGCTCTTAGCTATTACCGGAGAAGCTATTCTCGTTGTAAGACTCCCAGGACCGATTTACTTTTTCGTTTTGAAGGGTCATAACAGCCAAAAACACCACCCGTCCACATTTTTAGATATATGTCCGTCAGCACGATAACTCAAGCAAATATAATCTGATGTTGATGAAATGTGGTATAAACGTGTAAACTTTCGTTAAATAATAAAATAGGGATTTCCCATTTTTGACCCTAAAACATACAGTTTTTCTATTTCTTTCTAAACCATTTTGTAGGGCTTATAAAAAAAAATCATTTAGTACCACAAAGCGTTGGTTGTACGCCTAACGGGGAGATAAAATTCAATAAAAACGGTAAAGTAAATATTACTCTTTGTTATTTTTATTTTTTTAATCAACTGTTATAGTTTGCTTGTTTATTGACGGATACTAATCGGGGAAATTTGTTTATTTCATACCAAGCTATCGACATTTTAACCAGCAAACACACCTCTTTTCTATCACTTTAGCAGCAAACTTAGGTAATCATTAAATCACTATCATTAGACAGTTTTAAGGGAATATTTTTGTGTAAATCTTGCTAGGTAAGCGAAAATTAGCTTAGTCTGCAGGTTTACTGCGGCGGGAGTAGGTTATTTTATTATAAGATTGAATTTGTCTGTTGAAATGACATATTATGGAAGTACGTTGTTCATACAATTACAATTTTTATAGTATTACATTTCATATCATTCGTTAGGTAGTGTTAATTTCCCCATTATGTGTAATTTAAAATTATATTTATTATATTTATTAAAAAATAAAATTATATTTATTATATTTAAAATTATATAATTCCCTTATTAAATGTTCCCTACACTTAATTTGTCCTCACATATTTGTAATTTGTAAATAAACCTAATGTTGGCAAATATTCTTTTCAAGCCAGCACAACACCAACTCCCAAATATAAGAGCCCCCATAATTATTTTAAGAACCCCTGAACATCTTAGTAATAATCCTACAGTATATTAATTACTAGCAGAGTACCCGTCCTTCTTACGGGGCTGGCGTATAAGTATGAAATGCTTATTGCAGTTATACTCGTAAATAATATACTACAGTATTTCGTCAATTCGGTAAATTCCGAATAGGTAGGCCTAAATATAATAACAGTTAAAGCAAAGTTGGAGAGGTTAAATTATAAATTATTCTTTACATTTTAAATTGACATGTTTGCTTTAATATTACGGTTTAAACTTCCGCGAGGGCCACGTACATTTCCTAATCATGTACTTTTCACTGCTTACGCTTCTTCGAAACTGACCAAAGTATACATTTCATTTTCTAAATCATCGTATAACATCATAGTAGCCACTATATATTATAGTAATCTCTCCCGTGAACTTATTTTACGCACCAACCATGTGTATTGTACACAGTCTAGGAAACCACTCACGACAGCTGCGTTTTGGGACCTGGACAAAAGCCGCAGCGCATCTATTACGCGTCTAGGAAACCACAGCCTTACGACTACGATCAGAAGGTGCAGCGTTTCCCATTTCGTTCGATGTTTGGAATTAACTTAACCTAAAAAAATGTTTGAAAGACTAACTATTTATATGATTTGTAGGGAAAATATAATGTGTAACACGAGTGCAAACTACCTCTGCCGCACTCGATAAATTTTCAACACTCGCCCACGGGACATGCGTAAACATTTCTCTCGTGTGCAGCAATGCGCCACTTCGCCCACTAGTTACACAAATAGGAATAATAATAAGCCTTTAAAATGATCTATCATCATGCGAAATTTCAAACCCAATTCGAGTCATTTCTTGATTGAGTCCCAAACAAATAACGAACACACACACTTACAGCTTTATAATATTAGTACGGTATATAATGATGTTTCGATTGCCAATGGACTAATGCTGCCCAGGTTCTTTAATAAAGTCCTATAACAAGTACAGTTGGATTTTTTTTAGCTAGAAGCAGTTAAGGTGTGGTGGAATATCTTTGAAGATGAACCTATTTGGCACTAGTGTGATCATGTGTTCAGACCTGTCAAATTTTGAGGTTAAATAAAAACAAACAAACTGACACAATAATTCTTGGAATTGACAATAGTTAAATATACTTTAAACTTACTCTAGCCTACTTTTATATAACTACTTGGCAATATATAGAATATTTACTGTGAAATAGAGACGTCATTCCTAATTCCAAATCAGCTAATGAATAAGTTGATACTTAATTATTTCCTCCAAATTATAGGTGATGGTTGCTTTGATAATAGTTAATTATATGAGTTAGTATTAAAATATTGAATCTTCTTGCATAAGTTAATTAATTTCGATCATTATATTAATAGAATAATATGGTTGCTGTGACTGGGATACACATAAAATAACCGTTGGGACATACAGTAATGATGATTTACGTCTAGTTTTGAAATATCTTAACATCTAAACATAGACTCGCCTTTTGGGTTTCATGTTAGAGATCAGAATTAAATACTCTTGAGATGACGAGATGAACCTTTATAGACTCACGTTTTGACCCATTTAAATTGTAATTAACAGCTAATTGTATTGCTGATAATTCATTAATGAAATCACTAATCAAATAAGTTCACCTCACACAAACAGGATAACATTATACAATAGGCCAAGGAAGCAAGATTCGAGTTTGGTTTATAAAATGCAGTAGCCTAAAAACAGATATTTTTCTTATAAATTAAACAATGAAATATACTAAATCATTTCATTTGATCTTAAATGGCAATTATTTTGTAAGTAATACAAACCGGCCTCTAAATGCTTGATTATTGATTGCCAAGATGCCAGTTTGTTTGATTTGATTTAACCTCAAAATTTGACACATATAAACACATGATCGCACTACAGCTAAATAGGTTCATCTTCAAAGATATTCCACCACACCTTAACTGCTTCTAGCTAAAAAATTCAATTGTAGGTAAGAATATTTTTGTATATACAGGGTGGTAAAAAAGTCCCTGGACAGTTAAATATTAAAAGAAATAATGCAGATAGAGCTACAATACTTGGTACAAAGTTACAGGGCATAAAACTATATTTTAACACATATTCAGTGATCCAATAACTCTTCAGGGGGACGGCCCACAAGGAGTCGGAAGAACATCTTAAATGGAAGCATAGGTCATAATGCACATCAAATTAAAGGTCTTCTTTAGTAGAATACAATGCCGCAAACCGCACTTCAAAAGGTTGATCCTGCTCAAAATGGCAGATGTTCAAAGATTTCTTGAATCCGCCATTTTGAATCTTTGAACGACTGCCATTTTTTACTCAGGCATTCTTTTGAGCTTGAATTTACGGCATCGTAATCTACTAGTGAAGACCTTTAATTTGATGTGCATATCGACCTATGCTTACGTTAACAATTTTCTTCCGATTCCTAGGGCTGTGCCTGAGGATAAAGCGTATAATAGCAATGTAAATTAAATGAATCTTTGAACAACTGTCATTTTGTGCAGGGTCAACCTTTTGAAGTGCGGTTTGTGGCATTGTATTTTACTAAAAAAGACCTTTAATTTGATGTGCATATTGACTTATGCTTCCATTTAAGATTTTCTTCCGACTCCTTGTGGGCCGTCCCCCTGAAGAGTTATTGGATCACTGAATATGTGTTAAAATAGAGTTTTATGCCCTGTAACTTTGTACCAAGTATTGTAGCTCTATCTGCATTATTTTTTAAAATATTTAACTGTCCAGGGACTTTTTTACCACCCTGACGCCTCATAGGCTCCACATATATTTTTAAAATTATATAACAAAAAATGTTCTATAATTTTAGCATTAGTATTAACTGTCAAACGCTAATCAATAGATACTTTCTTGGAAGCTCTGTTACTACTTTGCATATATTTGTAGTGCATACAACGCACGGCCACGCTCTCATGTTGTTCTCCTCTCGCCACAGCTCACATTCGCTTCACTCTCCTCACCCTCTCTCTCCTTCTCCTACCCCTCTTTACTCGACCACCCCTTTCTCCCAGCGAAATACCCGGTATAGTACTGTTGGGGAGAATAGGCTTATGTCAGGTAGTCTTCTCCACTCGCCTCGACACTCTAATGACCCCTTAATTTACGAGTTCGATAAGCCGGGTCGCCAGCGCTCCTACACTCCCCCCAAGTAATGTTTTTTCGTCAAGAAAATTGAAATCCTTTTTTTTTGGGATGTCCCCTCTCGATTAGGTTTGACCAATGGGGAGGCTAACTCAACACCCACCAAACCCAGTATACATGCCAATAGTGCTAATTTATTATGTGTTTTCCTTAACGTTCAATGTCTGTGAACTAAGTTTAATGTAGGCTAGTTGAGTTGTTGGTATGGATGTCATTCAACCTGATATCTTTGACATATATGAGCACTGGCTTTTTCATGAAGAATCAAGTTTTTACTCAAAAATAGGTGACTGTACACTTGCCAAAAAAATCCATCCATTGCCGGAAAAATCGCATACACGGTGGGGTTGCTATTTACATACATAATAAACTCAAATGCCATAACCTTGATCTGAATGATTTTTGTGTTGATTTTGATTTGGAAATTGTTGGAACGGTATTCAATGATTATTCATTGGCAGTGCTGTCAGTGAACCACTGGGACAATGGTGATTTTGATAACTTTTTATAGCTCTGCTTGATAATTGCTTGGACAATGTAAAATCAACTGGATCCTTATTGGTGGGGATTTTAATAAGTTACCCCATTAAATGTTGACCCCACAAGAACACAGAATCTTACTGAGATTATGAGGTCTCATGGATTGTACTGGAGAAACACAGTGCTGTTGTTGCCGACCATGATGCTGTAGTCACTGATGTCAGCTGTAAGCAGATACCTACTTACAGGAAAGTTGATGGAAATTGGATTATATTTTTTGCTGAAGAACGTGCTACAGGATTGGAATCTTGTTTTATGTGATAAAAGCAATAGTCTCTTTGACCTATTTTTTTGATAAATTGAAGTCAATATTTGACAAAATATTTCCTCTGAGATACAAGAAACAATCTACTTGTACAAGCTAAAGAATTCTAGAATTTCTGGTTCAAGAGGGAAATTGTGGTACACGGAGGAGTTGACTAGGCTAAGATCATATATTCTGCTCTTAAGCAACCTAAGTAAAGATAGACAAACTTGCCTGACCTATACCTTAACACAAAAAGATCAAGGTATACAAAGGCAGGATCAAGGTAGATGCAGCGAAGAAGGCCGCCAACATCGCATTTATACACAGGAAAACGGCAAGTGTGGAATGCCCTGCCAGCCCTGAACAGGTAAACTCCTTTTTTATTACTGCTGTAAAGGAGTTTGTTGAAGGCATTCCAGAAAGTATAGCAGTCACTAGTGTCCAACCTCAACCTAACATAGTTTTTGACAAGTGGAGATCTAAGTTTAAATTGGATTGAAAGTGTAAAGTATCATTTTTCTAATTTGGAAATCCTAACAGTGTTTGGAATTTATATATACGAGACAATAAAATAAACTAAGCAGCACCATTTACCAAAAATACAGTTAGAACTAAGTAGGCCTACCAGTAATAGATATAATACCAGAAATGCACAATATGTTATACAAAACAGACATAATTTAGAATTTTATAAAAAAAAAACACAGTGTATGCCTTAGATATATAAATTTTTTACCAAAAGATATAAAAAATGTATGTAATAGTAGGAAATTTTACTTTAAACTAAAAAAATACCTAGTAGAAAAAGCAATTTACTCCTTTGAGGAATTTTATAATTTAAAATATTGTGAATAGACAATAAGTACTCACTGACTCTATTCATTGTACTTGTACATTCATGAATAAAGGAGATTTTGATTTGATTTGATTTGATCTACTAACCAGCAGGAAATAGTTAGAATTGTAAAGAACTTTCGGCACTCGCAAAGTAGTGATGCCTATGGAATGACTACAACAAAATTAATTAAGATTATTGACAGCACTGCATCTCCTCTTGCTGCAGTGGTCAACCATAGCTTAGCTACAGGTATATTTCTCAACGCACTCAAGATCTCGTGGACGGTACCAATCTACAAAAAGGGTGACCCGGAACTTTTAAATCGCTATAGGCTGATATGTATCACTGCCATTCTGAGCAAAGTAGTCGAAACCATAATCAAGATCCAATTAACAGACTTTTTTGAACAAAATTTTATTTTATCAGTCATAAAACATGGTTTCAGATAAGGAAGATAAACTTCAACGGCAGTTAAAGATATGCTGTGCTGCGTATACGAGGCTTTTGAAGGTGGTGAGGCGATTGCACTCACCCTGTGCGATCTGATTACCGTAACTTAAAACTCAGGATTATGAAAAGAGCTGAGTATTGGCAAAACTGCAAACCTTTATTTCAAGATCTTGGCATCCTGGCAGTCTATGGGAACTATATATTGAGCTCCCTCCTCTATGTTAAAGAGAATTTAGCTGATTTCGAAATAAGAGGGCAGCTTCACAGTCACAATTCAAGAAACAACAACCTGATCTGTATTTCCAGATGCCGTTCTTCTAAAGTGAAGGACAGTTTCCCACTACTACTCTTACTGATAAGATACTGGTAAGATGTTTAATAGACTGCCTGAGAACATTAAGAACCTGTAGCCGAAACTGTTCAAAAAGAAGTTAAAATCGTGGTGTTGCCAACAGAGCTTCTATTCCTTGGAGGATTATTATGATGTCCAGTAGATATTTTAATTACTTTCGTGCCGCCTCAAGTTATTGAATATATTATGTTTAAGTATTTTTTATTATAACGATGAAATATAGAAGGCTGTGGATAAATTCCAGTCGTAGTTTCGTCTGCTTAGTTCAATCCCGTTCCATGAGAGTGTTTCTGAGTTGAGGTTGTTTCAACGTGAAGTGGCAAATAGTGATGGAAAATTAATGGGTTACAACACGTAGTTCGTTCGGAAAAATTGACAGTTATTACTTAGGTACACAGATCTTACTTCAAAATTTTCCTGAAAATCTGGGTGAGGTTTGATAATTAAGTTCGGTAAATAAGCTATTTATGCTGTAAAGACCAATCAGACTAGAACGTTGCAAGTGCCATCTTGATTAAGGATATAAGTAATAAGTCTTATAACCTATTTTAACTAACTAAACATGCTGATAATTATAAAATCTATTGAAGGATTATTAATCGAATCTATAGTTTCAATCAATATTAGCGTAGCCCAGTTAAGAAATTTAAATTTAAAAGCGTAGCCCCTTTTTATTATTTTGCTACATTAAAACAATTTTCTTCCGAGACACAATGTAAGTTAGTTGGTAGGCCTATGCTCTAAGTAGGAAGGAATCATTGTTCATAGTAGGGTAATCATACAGAATTTCGAAACATCAGGTACCGGTACTATGCAACAAATTACAATGTTTTTGTTTATTGACAAAGTAGTGGAACTGGAAATAAGCAACTTACCTGATTATGACATTCGTCAAAAAATACATTGTTGAGACGAGCTCTACTCACAGCCTCAAACTTCAGAGGTTCAGACAATTTTAAATAGTAACTTTCGATAGACATTATTACGTTTCTTTGGATTCGTAACTTGTGATTTATTTATCCTGTATAACAGCGAGAGACGTTCTTTTCAAATTATAAAAATCCTGTACACTCATAACTGTAAATATATACAAAATCTAACCTAAAATAACTACTAATTTTCAACAACAACAACAACACAGTCCTAACAATATGATGAGTGGATGAATGACAGGCAGACAGGCACACAGGAGGAGACAGGATTGACAGGAGACAGGACTGGTCAGTCCAGTCCAGTGGCATAGTCTAGTACAAAAAAAATAGTCTAGGCATAAATAATCATAGATTAAAGATACTGCAATAAATTAAGACTTTTATAAATAATTAATAAATGATTAAGAATGCCCTTTTGGAAGTTATAAAACCACTGAGTTCTTTCTTACTGTTCAAAACTGAAAAAATGGAGTTGTCCGTTGAAATGTAAAATAAATAAATATATATCTCCCCCTTAACGTACCTATGATAAATGTTGAAACTTGACGAAATTATGACAAAACTATGAAAAAACTATCGATTTACGCAAATTAAAACCCAATTTGAATATCGATGGACACAAATAATGATATTCAATCCCCAACAATTTAAAAAAAATTCTTTTTAAGTCCCCCCATGTATACCCACGAAAAGGCAAACAATTATTTTTTGTAGAGCTATCACGGAATAACACAAAATCATCAAAAAGAGTGAATGTGATTAGGTTCTTTCGAATAGACCAACTACATATAAAACTTAGAATATATCATCGATTTATTTTTCAACTATACATAAATAATCATCGGCTCAACAAGTAGATACTATTTGCTTCATACCTGTATTTTAGTTCATGAAATTGAACAGCTGGCATTCTCTAGTGTCAAGGGCAGAAAGAAAATTATTTCATCAAGCAAGCGTCAAATATTGGAAGTAGAAATACTTAAACTTTTTAAGTATTTAGATAGCTTTTAATTAACAGCTAAGTTAATGTGACTAGTGTTAGTGGTTCGTGCCTCCTATTTGATTATTAGAACATGTTCAGTATTACATGACATTTACTGTATTACCACTAGTCAAGTCAAACTGAATAGTTTAATATGAATTCAAAATTCCTTTTAGGTTATATACTTTTCTTTTCATGTATGTTTGTTACCGATGTTTACACCGATTGTGTCAGTTCGGAAGCATATAATTTTAGTTCCGCACAACTTCAGGTCATTGTTGATAGATTTTCAAAATGCTCAGAAAATAAGATATTGAAGAAACAGGTAATGCAATCATTAATGAATTCTTTGTCAGCCTAAACCCTTGAGAAGCAAACCTAACCTAAACTTAACCTAACTCTAACTTATATTTGAGAGCAATTGGACTAACCTTCTAAATTCAGTGTTCAATGGAGGGTTGATTTTCATAATTCTTCTCTTACTTATCTGATCAGTTTTAATATTTTACTTTGTGGGGATATTACTACTTTAAGCAGTTTAAATATTAATTTAATCCAATAGCAAAAAGATGTTTTAGCAAGGTAGGCCTACACAAGATACATCTTAGGTTTGGTTTTGCATCCAAAGTTTTGGCTTGAAGTGTACAACTGTTGGAGTTTGCAATCAATGGTGTAAATAGTACACCTACTACATACCTATGACATACCTCATGGCCAAAGCCCCACACACACTATCGAACATGCAGCCGGACCTGACCTAACGATGAATCCAACATCCAACCTGACAATGTTGGGTGTTTCCCACACACTGCCGAGTATGTTACCAAACAAGTCGGGTTTATTACCATATCAGTTTTGAGATGGATTTCGAGACGACTGTAGCTGTTTGTGCTGGAGTTTTGTGTTTGAAACGCAAAAAGGAGAAAAATAGGTGGGGTTGGTCCAAGCAGTGGTCATTGGAGCGAAACAAGCTTAGCAACATGACACTCCTGGGTATACTCGCCATCAATGAGCCTCAATAAAACCTCAAGAAAAAGACTTTTCCTAGACCGAAAAACACTTTACCAAGAGGATATCGTACACCCCTCTTTATAGGCATGTTATGTTTGTTACAATACAGTTTATTTTTGATGTCCCATAAACGCCATGAGGTCTCTGTAAGTTCAATGAACTCTGACCAGAATTGTTTATTATCACTTAAATACCATTATGGAAAACAAGTGTTCAGAAGTCATTTGGGGCTATAACTTCACAACACAACTCACTCATACAAATACAAGTCACAACTGGAAGTGGCTAGTCGAGCGGACGGCTTCAATTAAATAGAGTGGTTATTAGCCAACTTTAAAAAAAATTAAATATCCTATCACCTCCTTGCTAGTAGCTTCGACTTTTAGATTCTGAAGTAGGTAGTCTAGTTATCCTATCTGCCTATGTTGCTGAATTTTAAGTGGTTTACAATGTTCTTGGTACCTACAGTGTCTGATCGATGATTCTGGTGGCTTTCTTCTTTAGTAGGCCTACCTATTGGAATTTTTTCAATTGTATGACATATGTATGGCAGATGTATGACATGACGTGTGCCTCTCCACACTAACTTACTATACCAAATTTCAGGTGTGCTGCAAAAAATAAATATTAAGTTAGGCTATTTTAGCTATGTGTTCGTTTATTTCTTTAATTCTGCGTGGAGCAAAAAATGGCTATGATAGGCGTTTTTGTAGGTTATCTATATTTAGGTTCCAGGTTTGACTGGGGTGCAATTTTGAATCTTGTTTTCACGCACTGTCAGTGGCCACACGGGCGGTAGCAACACGCAGCATCGCTCAAGTGGTCCTCGCATGTTTAAATCAAGATAAATGTGATTTCTTCCAGATTAGCGTAAAATATTTTGGGGTCTAGCCAATTACACTGTCCACGTTTTATCCTAAAAATACGTCGACCTTACTGGACCAATTATTAAATTGTTATTAAAAGGAAATAAATTATATTGGACTAAAGAATGTGAAGAGGCATTTTTGTGGAGCAATATTTTAGTTATATTCAAAGATCTGATGAAATGTTAGAAATTGATTTAAAAAATGTCATAAATAGATTTTTTAATATAACATTTTTGATAGGCCTACTAAATGTAAATAATTAAATTAAAGGTGAACAAAATAAAATAATTTTAGTGTTGTTTTCGTATTGAGATTAATAAGCCATTCATATTTCTTGTTCACTATCACTAGCAGGGTGTCCACATTCTGGAAAGTCAGGGATAGTCATGGAAAGTCATGGAAAAAAAATTTGGTCATTGAAAGTCAGGGAAATAGGCAAGAAGTCATGGAAAGTCATGGAAATTTCCAATTATGGATGGATTTGAGGGGACCATTCAATGCTCTAGTCAGCTGTAACCCGGACTGTTGTAGCATTTTTCAGGATTTTTCACAAATGTTCGACAATTCAATTTATTACAGTTGTATTATTTTATGAGTTTTCGGTTTGTTTTAGTTCATTGTTGTACCTATTGTACTCCATTGTTATCTGTTATTACATATTCCAGTATTTTCTGCAAAATAACATGTCCAGGCAGTTATATTTGTGTGTGTATGTTATATTATAATTTGCGTGTAAAGTTCGTGAGTCATGGAAATCAGTGGTAAATGGTCATGGATAGTCATGGAAAGTCAGGGAAATTAATGAAAATTTTTTTGTGGACACCCTGACTAGTCAAAAACAAGGTTAATATTCCGGCCGTGAGGAAGATATACAACATAATCACGTGAATTCAGCAATCGACTGCGAGTTGCCACTGCGTTTTGCCGCTCCTAGACTTCAACCGGAACCTGTGCGAAAATAAGCTACATTTTACCACGTGAAATAAACGCACGTGAGGCCTACAACAGCGGGAATTCAATCAGCATGAAAATAAGCTAGTATTCACCCCGTGAAAAAACGCCTGTGTGGCCGTAGCCTTAGTGCCATTTTGTCACCAATACTAATTAGTTTAACACATATACAAATTTTTAACACTAACTTCTTTCTATCCTCTATATTTTCAAATCTTGTTTACATATTTTTAGACTTACAACTGTCTATTGAGTGAACAAGAAGAATCTCTCAAGAGCAATTTGGCGCAGACTCGAACCAAACCCACTCAAAGTGAAGGTACGTTAAGCTATCTACCTCATTCTGTATTTTTTTCTTGCTCATAGCTGTGTTAAAAGTAGACTCCTGTTGCAAAATACCTGTGTAGTACGTAACATATCTTAAGTTGCTTGGTTTAATTTATGCTAAAACTTCTTTGGAATCAAAGGAATAATTTACACCTTGATTTACTTCAAGCACAGGAGAATAAAACAAGCTTGATTAGTACTTTTACCCCATAATGCTCTTTGGAGAGTGCATAGTGATAAGTTATAGTCTACTCATCAGATGTGTCAAGTCTCACATTAACCCACTTAAATTTTATTTGACATTTTATGACTCATGGAGTGGTCTCTATGTATGTAAATTGGTGGGTTGGAAATGCAAACGATATCCGATTGACGTTCTATTCAAGGAATTGTCCATTCTCACTATTTGACAGCTATTCATTATCAATAAACGTCTTTAAAAATCATACTAATGTATTTAAGGAATAACTCACTCTCATAGTACCCATTACTCCTTATGAGTCTCCTCAGGCATTTCTTCGCTTCAGATAAACTATACTTTCTCTAAAACTAAATCTTTCTATATTTCTAATATACTCTGTCGAAATATCTGTAGTACTCATTTAAGTAATGATAATCTTTTTTAATCACCTTCACTTAATGTTTTCAAACTAAGAGTCAAAGAATTTCTCTTCAGGCTTTGTATAGATGAGGCCGATGTTATCATCATAGCTGATTACCGGCGTGTTTGACCCGACCCTTGCCCCCTCCATCCTCGGCCAGCATGAATCTTTTGGATATAGTTCTCACCTGATCAAAACTTTTAATATTCTCTTTGTTTATTGTATTTTAACACGTTCACTGCGGGCGTATCCGATCGGATACGGGCCGAGCGGTGTTCAGATGCTGCCATAACCGATCGGATACGCTCTGCAATGCCTTACATATATCTTTGTTTTTGCTCTAGCGTCAGTCAAATGCGGACCTATACCAGTAGTGGGTGAATTGCTTTTGGTTGTGGTGTAGGTTGATAGTAAAATTTCCCCATAAAATCCCCATCTGGCAAAC